GATGTGGTTCATGGGGTCATGAAGAGTTGGACACGACTTAACGACTAAACAACAACAACAACAATCTGAATTAAACATTTTAATTTAATTATAATTCTGTTAAATTTCCATTTACAACTCTCCAACATACTGAAATTCATCCACAAAGAAAAACTTTCCTTATCTAAAATGTTACCTGATCTCACAGAAACTATCCGGTTAACTCCATCCATGACAGTGAGAGGGTCATGGCGTCGTTCTGTGGAGCACTGGCGGTCAAATTCTACTCTAAGACCTTCAGCACCTGAAGAATGAATGCCACAAAAGTACAATCAAGACTCAGAAGAAGGAGGAGGAAAAGGAAGAAGATAAGTTTGTTTTCTTTAAATTTTGTATTTAATGTTTAGTTGGATTTCATGATCTTTCCAGGCAGGATAATTAAGCCTTGCATGCTGAATATCTGAAATCTAATTGCACAATATTAACTGAAGTGCACACAATTTAGAAGGACTGCTCCAATCTTGAACCTAAATTCTAAAAGGTTCCTTAACTGTGCTGTTAATAATCAGTAATATGATTTTATTAAACCAAGACATCTGAAATGATTTTAATAGATGATACAGGCACACTGCTTCTAAATTAATCTATCACTGCAGCAATACCATTATGGTGCAATATAAGAATCATTGTATTGCATAACATTAGTGAAACAATGAAAAAGCATGCCCTTTTGCTATCTCACTATTAGAACTGTGGCCCCAGGGCTGATCAAGTATTCATTATATGATCTTAACAACAGTTTAGACATTTTGGGTCACTTTCATCAAAGCTGAAACCACTATATATTTCCAGTATAACCTACAATGGCGGTATGTATCCTATTTCTGATTTTCAGGATACCCTGTATCAAAATTTAGTACCTGGTATTTTAACAGTGCCACTGGTAGAAGTATCATCAGTATATGGATGACTACTTTCTACCACCACTGGCTGAGAAGACAGACGACCACTTTGTGAATCAGTTGCCACATCTTCCAACTCAGTAACACATAGTTCCAACAACATATCAGCCACCTGAAAATATACATATATAATTTAAAGCATTTTTACTCTAATCTTTAGACAAAATGACTTACAAAGTATCAATCATTAAAAACTTTTATCATTTTATCATTTAATTAATTATTTATATCCTGCCTTTCTGCCTATTGGACAGCTAAAAAAACCCAACAAACTGTTAAAAAAAATAAAAAACTACTATTAAAATTAAATGAAAATGCCTGGCTGAAAAGGAAAGACATTCTCTTTTTCTTAAAAGCAGAAAACTCTTATTTTTAAAAGCAGAAAGACTAGGGATTGGGTGCAAATCTCTTTTGCTTGGAACAAGATAGAAGATGGCCCTCTCCTGTATTCCTGTCAAGCAGATGTCAAAAAGTGAGATCTTTAAAAAGGCTTCTACTGACCTTAGTGTCTTGATAGGCTTCTATCAAGATGGGTGGTCCATTAAATAATAAGGTCCTAGAAAGGCTAAGGCTTTAAATGTTTTTTTACACCTTAAGTTGTGCTTTGGAAACAACTGGAAACCAACACATATCTTTCATCATGAATATAATATATTCCTGATACTGGACACAAATTAGTTCACCAGCTGCTGCAATGCAATCTGCACAAATGCAAACTTCTGGATGCTCAAAGGTAGCTGCACACAAAGTATGCTCAAGGCTGGATGTAATCAATGCATGACTAACTGTTGACAAATGCAACTAGTTGCAAAATTCTGCAAATGAAGTCTTTGCTACATCACCACCTGAGAATCCAGGGCTCAAGGAGCTCCCCCAAAACATGGTACAACTTCATCTGGAACAGAATGAAACATATCCTAGAACCTGGTTTTCTATTGATTAAGAACACTTCCAGATTGTCTGATTTTAATTTCAGCTTGTTCACCCCCACTGAATGTAAGCACCAGTCATGCAAATCTACTGCTTCCTTGGAGAAAGATGGTAAGGAACAATGAAGCTTGATTTTATCAGATGAATAATGGTCCTTCACTCCAAAGCCCGATAACTTCTCAGCCTTTTCATATAAATACTAAACAGCATAGTAGATAACAATAGATATTTAAAACATTGAGTTCATCCCTGTATTCAGTGCAAGAATCCAATTTAAAGAATTTGCCCCAAACCATCCAGCTTCTGCATGAACACATCCAGTGATGTGCAGCCTATCATTTCATTAGGCAATTGGTTCTACTTATCACCAGAAGGGTTTTCCTAACATTAAACCAGAACCTTACTTCCTCAAAATTAACCCCATTATACCATGGCCTGTAATCTAGAATAATCAAGATCAGGTCAGGACTTTTTTCTGTGTGACACTCTTCAGGTATTGGAGAAGTACTATCATACTCCTCTTCAGTCATCTTTCTCAAGACTAAAATGTCATGTTCTCTCAATCTCTCCTTGTAAGACTTAGCTTTCAGGCCACTGATTATCCATACCATTATTCTCTGAACCTACTCCAAATAGTTTTTCCAAATATTTCCAAAGCATAGATAGAAGTTGAACAGCTCTGCTTTGTTATCAATTTGCATTCCACTGAGCAGCTGGTATACGGCTCTTTTCTCTTTATTTTATTGTGAACACAACTGAAGAAGCCCTTGTTAGTCTTACATTGCACCTCAGCTGCTGCCATGGAATCCCACTTATCATTGCTTTAAACTTATATATAATATGCTGTCTTGGTCCAGGGCATGTGTTTGCATCCAGTTTTAGTTTCCTTAATAGTAAAAAATACAATACTATAGTATTTCCTATTGATTAGGATCAAACCCAGAATAGTGGATTCCCTTGTGTCTTTCTCTACCCTCTAAAGGAAAAGGTTTTGAGCAAACATGTCAGGAATAGCCTTGATGTTGAACAACAGTTCCCCACTATCATCTTCCAGACACAACCCAACAGAAAAGATCAACCATATAAAACAATGCCGCCAAGACCCAACTCTGCTAGGAGATCAACAAGGATATCATGATTGATGGTATCAAAAGTCACTGAGAAGTCCAAGAAAATAAATAGTTCTGCATTCCTCTTATCTAGTTACTGGTGTAGATCATCCATAACAAAGAAACTAAAGCAATCTCAATTTCATATCCTGGTTGAAAGCCCAACTGAAATGGATCAAGATGATCAGAATTCTCAAGGATATTAGAGTTGCAGAGCCATTATGTGCAATTCTCTGCCCAACAATGGAGTCTAACTTGAAGCAGATACAAGTGACTTTATCAGTAAAGAATACTGCAAACTCTTCACAGCTTGCCACCAAGCTGCTGTACAGTCTATTACTCTAGCCACAAATGGTAAGCTTGAAACTGGTTGACAGTTACCCAATTCAAAATTTTCTGACATAATGATCTTATCTTTGCTTTCTTTAACCAGGTAGAGATGCTTTCAAGGTAGCATTAACTACTTCCCTTAATTATAACATCAGTTATTTGTGGTCAGCCTCAAAGGAAGGAACAAGTAAACTGCTCTGGTGGTAATCTTCACCTTTCCAGAGATCCTGTTTCTAGAGTTTCACAAACTGGAAAGAATTGAAAACAAGAGGTCTGAAGTTTCAGCATAATTCTCTGTCTAACACTGGAGTCTAACCTGAAGCAGATACAAGTGACTTTATCAGTAAAGAATACTGCAAACTCTTCACAGCTTGCCACCAAGCTGCTGTGGTTCCTCTCTCCAGCATCAAGGAGAAGGGGGATGAGATGCCACACACAGTATGGAAAAGCAATACCAGTCTGTTCTGAGCAAAGACAGAGAACAGTTCTTTGCTGCTTCCACCAAAAGAATACAACTCCAAATAGCCTTCACCTGTGACCGATTTGATTCATCCTGAGATTTGTTTAATTTGTGCTGAAGTTGTTGTTCTTTCCGCTTCATCACTTTCAGGGGAGCAGGGGACAATTTGGCTACAGTGCCAAACAAGCAACAGTACAAACAAGCAACAGTGTTTATCATCTGGATCATTTCCATATTCCAGGGATCAGCCAGGAACATTTAATAATATCACCAACAGATATTATTCAGAAAACTATTTGGATCTATCAGGTACTTTGAGAGGACCATATCTTTTATAATCTAAAAGGGGTGAAAAGCTTAATAGTATTTGATTAATCACCAAGATGAATGGGAACGGATCAGCCTGATGCCTTCGAGCATAAACAATACCCAGGAATTACAGTGATTGCAATTCAAACCATTTTGAAGGCACTGATTGCCTATCCCTTGGATATATTACAGATCCAACCATTCTCTGTTCTCCACCTGGGCTGGCCTATTCTTATTTTTTCTTTTCCCTTTCTATTTCTCTACTCCTTTTACTTTGGTTCATCAATCCTCAAATTTTCAAGAGGGATTTAATAATTAGACATTAGAGGCACTGAGTAATCAATTCAGCACATTTCAGAGCAACTAATATAGCAACTGGTACAGAATAAATAATGCCGCAACAATTTAACTTACCTGAGGATAAGCAGTACCCATGCCAGACAGCACAGCGGAAAGAACGTCTTTCCCCTTCTCTCCAGCACGTCCTGATACAGCCAACTTCAATAGGTCAACCATGACTCGGGTATCATCTGGTACCAAGAGACTGGTGAATTCATCCAGGTACTGAGGCTCTGGCCCAGAGACCTTACTTTGGTTTTCCACATCCTTCAGGATAAAATGGAAGACAAGGTGGTGTACCATAATGATATGAAAAGACAGAAATCAAATTACCCAATAAAGTGTTATATTTACACCTTTGGATTATATAGTTTAGAGGCTTATTTCCTATTTAACTACCAAACTTTTAGCACTTCAAAATACACAGGAATTTTGTATAGAAGCCAAATTTTTAATAGGAAATACTTTATCTGAAGCTGTATTTTTATTACTGAAAGACCCCAAAAGCAATTTATTACTTGACAGCTCTACAAAATTTTATTAATTCACTTTAAGTTAAATGTAACTACTTTTTGTTATAATTACAGAAGAACAGAATCTACCATATCTGGCCATCTTGCAGCCCAGTGTGCATATGACACATCTTATTAGATACTCACCACCAATCTCTCCATCCTCATCTATCATTTTTTGAAGAAAATCTAGTTAAGTGTGTAATCAGTACAAATGAGGACCTTACTTCTTTGGTTTTGGTCATTGTCTCTGCTATTATACTGGCTGCTCCAGGGTCATCTGTGACAGGAATGAAAGGACGAGATGAGGCTGCTGCAGCAGAGGGCGTCACAGCAGAGGGAGTCAAGGCATCTTCCGCAGAAGCCACCTAGATAAGCAGAACAGCATGAGACTAATAAAAGAGAGCTTAGTAAGGCAGATAGAGTGGGACTTTGAAAATCCCCAACTGAGAAATTAAGGTCTTGCATTAGTACTTAATGATTACCTAGAGCTTCTTTTCTGGGCCCCCAAAAACAAAACGAAACATAACTACAGTGACCAGCCACCAACCAGAGCACGTTTAATTGCCTTACTTTTTTTTTTAATATTATCCCCTTATTTTATAATAATAACAAAAATGAGAAAAAGAAAAAGGAACAAAACACAAAGATACATACATTATCCAAAAAAAAAAAACCCCAATTACATCACAAGTGCTTAAAAATAAGTAGAAAAAATACAACAGAAAAATAATAAAAAAGAAAATATAAAGTATATGTCATTACAACAATAAAGTTATAATTGTATATATAGTTATCTAATACAAATAGTATGTGAGTATACAGGTGAAACTCGAAAAATTAGAATTTTATTTTATTTATTTATGTTCACTTATGTCAGTAAGGCAACTCAAAAGGTGAAAC